CACATATATAGTATATATATATACAGTAAATACGGTATATACATGGATGTTCACAGTCTAAGTCTAATCAGAAACGGTTTAAGCTAATATTCAATTCATGTTAGTGCTTTTTCTTGTTTATAATAATTCAAAAGTTTATTTGGTATCTTCTTCCTCTTCATCCTCAGCTGTACAGCCTGTGTTTTGTGTTTTTCTGCTTCTTTATGAAATGAGTAACGATGGGCTGACACTGAATGTTTGAAGCACACAAAAGATGATTTTCTTTCAGTGCACGTCTCTGTCATCTCCAGCGTCTTTAACAGACTGAGAGCTCTCTGAATGCTCTGCTGTTCAGGACCTCTCACATACACATTCTTTGTTTGGCATCAGATAACGAGTTACTTTTAACAAGAACTCACATTGAGTGCTAAATGTCTTTATTTACACAGGCTGCACATAAATCAGAGGAGTTGATGACTTTAGTTCACTGGGAAATTCATGTTTTCAAATGAGCTCTTACAGGTCCATCTGCTGTTGTATATTTAAAATTATAAAACAAACAATATATTAGGGATCAAAATGTGTCAAGTTAATGGCCCTTGTTGTGATTTAATTCAAAGTTATTCTCTTTGTACAATAATTGCTACTTATTAGGGTTATGATCTGCAGTGAATTAGGACCTTATTTTGTTTTGAAACAGAGTTCATTCTACACAGATTTCAAATGGCATTTAGCCAAGAGAATGAAGTCTTTCAGTAATCTGTTTAAAACAGCCTGTTTGTCTAAATGAGACCAAACTCAAATAGATAAACTGAAAGCCAAGAAAAGTTCCAAGTATTTGAGCAATGTAGAGTCTGCTTTAATTTCTATACAGTGTTTTCTTATACACTATTTATTTACTGTATATGTAAAATGGATTTTTTTAAAAATCTGACAAAATAAGTCTACATCTCATAATGCATGTACATATCTGTCATTGATCAGTCTAATGTCAGAGAGGAACAGGTGTAAAGTACTTTATTTAGAGAGAGAGAGAGAGAGAGAGAGAGAGAGAGAGAGAGAGAGAGAGAGAGAGAGAGAGAGAGACAGAGAGAGAGGGAGGGAGAGAGAGAGAGGGAGGGGAGAGGGGAGAGAGGGAGAGAGAGAGAGAGGGAGAGAGAGAGAGGGGGGGAGAGAGAGGGGGAGAGAGAGAAAGAGACAGAAGGAGAGAGAGAGAGAGAGGGAGAGAGAGAGAGGGGGGGAGAGAGAGGGGGAGAGAGAGAAAGAGACAGAAGGAGAGAGAGAGAGAGAGGGAGAGAGAGGGAGAGACAGAG